TAACTAAAGGAACCGGGGTTGCGGTGCCACCGGCTTGGGCCCGCCATCGCTGCTCGCAGCTATATTTATTATTATTATTATTATTTATACGACTATTCGGGCACTTTTGGGGCCCTTAACATGCTCAAAAACTCTTGAAACTTTGCACACGGGTCAGAACCCGCGGCCATCAGGGCCGGGCTGAAGATGGTACCCGGGCGTGGCAGGGGGCTAGACAGCGCCCCTGGAACGGGGTCCGAACACTTGGTCCATAAATCAAACACGCTTGCATGTAATAATATGAAACTCGGTACACATGTTGATCTCATCGTTCATCTATACCTCGCGCTTTTACTTTTTACCCCAGCCCAACAGGAAGTCGGCTATTTAGGGTTGTTCGTAAAACACTCGCAATGGAATTTAATACTCCTCCTAGAGCTTTGATCCAAATTCGACGAAACTCGGTCAGCGTGAAGTCAAGACATTGAGGATGAAAGTTTGCGAGGGGATTTTTGATATCTCGAACGGTTTGGCCGTGGCGAGGAAACGAAATTATGGCGAGAAACGTGAAACAGGAAGTGTGTTATAACTTCAGCATACATTAACTGATCTTGATGAAACTTCAGCAGTGTGTTCGCTGTAAGAGGACGATCACATGGATGTGACTATTGTGAGTCAAAGTTATAGCGCCACCAACTGGCAGCAGGAAGTGTGTCACTTTCAAAATGCTTTGAAATCACCCTCTTATTTTTACCCGATTTGCTTCAAACTTAATCTGTATAATGTAAATACATAGCAGATGAAGACCTGTGAATGGATTCTTGATATCTTTGATACTGTTGCCGTGGCAACGCATCAAACTTTAAAATTCTTTTGATGATTTTGAGACTCTTAGCGGCTTTGGGGCCCTTAACGGGTTTGAACTCTTGAAACTTTGCACACAGGTCAGATCCCACAGCCATCAGAGCCGGGCTGAAGATGGTACCTGGGTGTGGCAGGGGGGCTAGACAGCGCCCCCTGGAACGGGGTCCGAACACTTGGTCCATAAATCAAACACGCTTGAATGTAATAATATGAAACTCGGTACACATGTTGATCTCATCGTTTCATCTATACCTCACACTCTTACTTTTTACCCCAGCCCAACAGGAAGTCGGCTATTGAGGTTTGTTTGTAAAAACGTCGCAATGGAATGGCAATACTCCTCCTAGAGAATCAAACACACGGCACGAAACTCGGTCAGCATGAAGTCAAGGCATTGAGGATGAAAGTTTGCGGGAGATTTTTGATATCTCGACGGTTTGGCCGTGGCGAGGAAACGAAATTATGGCGAGAAACGTGAAACAGGAAGTGTGTTATAACTTCAGCATACATTAACTGATCTTGATGAAACTTCAGCAGTGTGTTCGCTGTAAGAGGACGATCACATGGATGTGACTATTGTGAGTCAAAGTTATAGCGCCACCAACTGGCAGCAGGAAGTGTGTCACTTTCAAAATGCTTTGAAATCACCCTTTTATTTTTACCCGATTTGCTTCAAACTTCATCTGTATAATGTAAACATACGGCAGATGTAGACCTGTGAATGGATTCTTGATATCTTTGAAACTGTTGCCGTGGCAACGCATCAAACTTTGCCATTCTTTTAGGATGCTTTTGAGACCCTTAGCATGCTTGAAATGCATGAAACTCGACAGACACATCACATTTATTAGCCAGTAGACATGTGCAAAGTTTCAGAAACGGGCGTGGTGAGGGCTCAGTAGCACCACCTTTTGACAAAAGTGGGGTTGTTAGTTTTACTAACAGTTACAAAAAATCGGTATGTATATTGTACTCCTCGAGCCGGACAACTTTCTAATTGACACTCATTAGCTAGGACCCACAGAAAGTCAGATATCTTTGTTTGAATGTAGAGAAAATCTTAGAATTTTGCCAGTCTCTCAGTGTCTCTCTGTGTGAGTGAAGGAGGAGGCGCCTGTCAGGTTAATTTTAACCCTTTATTTGCTGTGTGCGACTTCTCTGGCATTTTCGGGGGCCTTAACATCCTCTAAAACTCTTGAAACTTTGCACACGGGTCAGAACCCATGGCCATCAGGGCCGGGCTGAAGCTGTCATCGGGCGTGGCAGGCGGCTCGACAGCGCCCCCTGGACTGGGATTCGAACATTTGTCCATAAATCAAACACACTTGCGTGAATTAATATGAAACTCGGTACAATGTTATAGATCACATCAGGCCAAACAACTTTCGTGCTCTAAGTTTTACGACAATTAAATGGAAGTTGAGAATTATGGGTTGTTTGAATAGTTGTCCTAGGAGAAATACATCAAATTACAACGCATGTGTTTACCAATCACAAACCAAACTCGGTGTTGCAAGAAGTCAAGACATTGAGGATGAAAGTTTGTGAGGGGATTTTTGATATCTCAAACGGTTTGGCCGTGGGAGGAACGAAATTATGGCGAGAAACGTGAAACAGGAAGTGTGTTATAACTTCAGCATACATTAACATATCTTGATGAAACTTCATCAGTGTGTTCGCTGTAAGAGGACGATCACATGGATGTGACTATTTCGAGTCAAAGTTATAGCGCACGCAACTGGCAGCAGGAAGTGTGTCACTTTCAAATGCTTTGAAATCAACCTTTATTTTTACCCGATTTGCTTCAAACTTCATCTGTATAATGTAAATACATGGCAGATGAAGACCTGTGAATGGATTCTTGATATCTTGATACTGTTGCCGTGGCAACGCATCAAACTTTAAAAATCTTTTTTTTTTGATGGATTTTGAGACTCTTAATGCTTTGAGGCCCTTAACGGGTTTCAAAACTCTTGAAACTTTGCACACAGGTCATATCCCACAGCCATCAGGCCCGGGCTGAAAGATGGTACCTAGGCGTGGCAGGGGGCTAGACAGCGCCCCTGGAACGGGGTCCGAAAACTTGGTCCATAAATCAAACACGCTTGCATGTAATAATAGATGAAAAAACTCATCTGTATTAATGTAAACAGATGAAAAACTTCATCTGTATAATGATGAAAAACAGATGAAAAACTTCATCTGTATAATGTAAACATACGGTAGATGTAGACCTGTGAATGGATTCTTGATATCTTTTAAACTGTTGCCGTGGCAAAGCTTCAAACTTTGAAATTATTTTGGATGCTTTTGAGACTCTTAGCATGCTTGAAATTGCATGAAACTCAACAGACACATCACATTTATTAGCCAGTAGACATGTGCAAAGTTTCAGAAACGCGGCATGGTGCAGGACTAAATA